TTTTACTTTTAAAATCAGATGAAAAGTTATAATGAGTAATTAGAGCCCAATTATCGTCATTTGCAAATAGACAATTTCCTGATTCCGTTTAATTCAGAGTTTCAGGGGTCTGTATACGTCTTGTTTTTTTTTGGCTATTGTACAAGAGCTGACTAAAATGTTAACTGTTCTAAAGGCCACCAAGATCATACATGTATAGAATAATGTAAAAGTTAAAAAAAATGCAATGGGAACATTTAGTGTCTAGGGAATAATAACATCCAGTCTTTTGGAATATGTGAACTGCGATTTGTGGATAAACGTCAAGTTACAGATTGCTGTAATCATTGGTTTCCTGCTAGGCACTGATTTTCTCCAGTAAACATTAAACTTCACATTGGCGCAAGATTGCGTAGTTACAGTAGTTACTCATTAACAGTAAAAACAATCCTAGAGCAAAGCTTGGCATTACATTGAGTTGGAATTGCTAGTTGAAAAGCTACTGCTTGAATCAGTAACAAACAGTTGATTCACTGTGCTGAAGTTCTGTGGTACAAAGTTAATAAATAATAATACTAGACAAAGGCAAAGCCATGAACTATTGAACAAGATGGTATTTTCTTCAAGTTTAATGGCATTTTGCCAGGATTAATTCTTCTTAATGTTAATTCCGAATTCCAGAAAGACCAGCTAAACATATTGAGAAAACACTGGATATAATTCCATGAGCTTGTAAAAGATTGAACTAAGCAAGTGAAGCTTGTTTGAACACATCAACGCCACTACCATGTAACTTAAAAATGTTAACTAAATTTTATGAGCGCAGAATCAAGCACCATCTCTCAGAACCAGTTGAATTGAATTTGTAATAGGATTAATCTCATTAAACAATCCAAAATGAACTCCTGTCGTAATGTCAAGGTTTTTGTAATCTGTACAAATAAGACTTTTCTTTGGCTTTCATACACAAAACGTTCAACACAGAAGCTTCCAATTACAAAATAGTACCTAATATTATAAAAGATCACTGTCCATCACAATATCGTTCCATTCAGAATGTTAGCTATGATACCAGATTGGTTCTGTAAAAAAAAGGCAAAATACTGCAGCTGCTGGTAATTTGAAGTAAAACTAGAAGTCACTGGGAACACTCAGCAGGTCAGGCAGCATCTATGGAGAGAGGAGAGTAAGTTAACATTTCAGGTCAATGACCTTTCATCAGAACTGGGGTCAGATTTGTTCTTATATTATTGTTGGTAAATTCCATTCAATATTAATAAAACATTGAAGTAATTGTTTAAGAGATTCTGATTAAAAACATACCCTTGATTCCTACTAAAAAAAAACTGGTGGAATAATTAATTAACTCTCATTTCAAAAATCCAATTAATATCATCATAAAATGAAAGGCAAAACTGTAATTAAGGAAACTTTAGGGATAAAATACATTGGAAATTGGTCATGATTTGCTGTCATTCCATTCAATGGGAATAAATTGCAGCTGATTCAACAAAACTAAAAGCTGGTTTGGAACTAATAATCTGGAGGGAGGGGAGAATCAAAACTTCTTAGAAGATCAACACATTTAATAATATTTTTTAATTTGAAAGAAAATCAACTGGCAATTGGCTGCTGGATTTCGCCTACAAAATACAGTCACTACACTTCACAGTATATTTTGTGAAGCGATTTGAGACGTCTCGAAGACAGCTATATCAAATACAAGTAATATTATTATTACAACTTTTTAAAGAAGGAATACTTTCAATCCCTATCCTCTTCTACCCACAGACAATGTTAAACTAAGAGTAATTCGACAAGCTCTTAACTCAAAAAAATTCAATATTTTCATTTTGGTTTCCCTTCTATGTGAAGACTTACAGTTTAAATCTTCTGCTCTGTTCAGGGAGCTCTTGTACTTACAGCACTATTAGTGAGAATCTCAGGAATCCCATGAATTGGCATCCTTCTGTTCCTGTACGGCATCTGTGCAACCGAGAGAGAGTGAACCACTTTGGTTGTGGATAAATTCAGCTGGTTAGCGTTTTTCAAACCCAAGTGTATAATTACACTTGCTATGTGTTTTGAATAAGTTGATATAGTTGGAGTCGAGCCAATTTCTACTTGCAACTGGGTTGTAAAACTTTCCAAAAAATGTTGGCTTAAAATTAAGTAAAGCTTGTTTTTATTATGAGCCAAACTTCTTTGGAACGTTTTACAGCACAGAAATAAAACAGAAGCCAATCTATCAGAATATGTTGCATCTCAACGGAGAACAATAACATTCATTCCTGTAGTGGAGACGAATAGAATATTACAAATTGGATTTTGCCACATGATGGGATACACTTGACACAGGATTTTCCTCAACAGTTTACAATTGAAATTATGTTAAATTTTAAGACATTTTTACATTAGGGCCTCGAGATGTCCTCCTGACATGAAAGGCGCTATACAAATGCAATTTTGTATTGTATTGTTTTTTTTAGTAAAGAGAAGTCTTTTTTTAGCAGGGTTGGTGCTGGATATCCTCCCTTATCAAAAGGATGGGTTTTCATCAGAGAATTACCACTGTGAACAAATGAGAAAAAATAAAACATTAAGAATGCATTCCTGTGGATCTAACAAACAGAACAGGTAAAGTCACCTGAAATCTAATATGATAAGGTGCATTCCCCAGTCTTTCAGTATTTTCCTGGCTAAGGAATCATGACAGTTTTACAGCATGTTGAATCTTCTGTTTTTCACTGGGAATCAAACCAGTGATTGAAAAGGCAGAAGGCAAAAGCATAACTACATCAAACCCACATTGTTCCAGTTTATGTCATTTAACCTTTGGCAGATCATATTATCATATGCTTCAAATTGAACTACAGAATTTTGGATTGAAACTCTGAGTATTCTTCTAAAGTTCAAAGCTTTTCCTCTTTTGGCTTTGAGACAATTTGCATTTGATGGATATCTAGCTCGTATTGCATCTTGCCAAACTCAATAAGATATACAAAGCTTCAGCAAAGATCAGAGTGCACCTTACTCGTTTGTCTTTCCATTCAAAACTACTACAGTTTTGTTGTCTGTGTAGAATGGAGGTTAGAAAAAAATCCCAAATTCATTTTCATGCTGAATAAATCATCTATAAATAAATCAATAAATCAACAGGTCGATTCTCCAAATGTGAATATTAGACCACTTTAATCCCAGTTACTCCAGTTTAACTCATTTTTTAAAACTATAATAATTTACGGCCATTTCCTAATGTCCTGTTGCTGCCTCACTTCCTGGCCACTCCCAAACTAAAACCCAGTTGATTGTAATCCTCACCACAGTGAATATCAGAGACAAAAGTTGATCTCCCACAGACTCCAGCGAGTTCCATAAATACTTTTCTCATTAGTGTAGGTTGGATGCTGCCCAGTGCAATTGTATACCTCGAGGTATGATAAACTCAAAAGATGAGGTTTATTTTTCAATGGGATTGTACAAAAAGCTGAAGAATTTTATCCAGTTGCCATAAGTAGTATTACATGACTGGCTGATAGTGTGGTGAGACTGATGTGACTCCCTTGAGTGAAACACTCGGGTGCTGCACAGTGGCCTAGCAAGTAATTCAGCCAAGATCTGATACTGTAGATAATGTGGAATCCAGTAGGGTATTGGTTAGGGCACTTTCCTGGGTTTGATTCCCAGACAGGGCGAAAGGTTAGACAAGTTTTCTTACTCCACATGTCTTTGTTTACCTAGCAGTAAGTTAGTCGATTAGCGGATCGCCTTTCTGGGGGTAATAATAAATGATAATTTGGTCACTCAATCCATGACTGTTTGTGGGACACTGCTGTGTGCAATTGGCTGCCGCGTTTCACCCACAAAATAAATAATCAATTCACTTTACAGTATATTCTGGGAAGAACTTTGAGACATCTCGAAGACGTGATAAAGCGCTATATCAAATGCAAGGATTATTATTATTTACTGTACTTATCCAACAAGAATAGGTGAGGTCACATTACGAGTGAGAACTAAACTGAACTTGAAACACAAACTAACTCAGAATAGTAACTATTATTGGAGTGTATACATGATTTCAAGTGGTTGCAAAACCTATGTCTGGAAGCGATGATAGTACCTTGTTTTTCCATGTACCATTCAGTCGGTCAGAAACAGGTCATGTTGATCCTGTGTTAAGAAAAAAGCTCTCATATTCCACCCATTACTCGCAAAGAATTCACTAATTCTGAGCTGAAATAACAGAAAATAAATGTACTGATTAACAGCTGATTTTTGTATGTGTGGTTGGTAAACCATCAAATGTGGTTTTAAAATAGATGTGACGAAATATGGAGATTTTCTGCTTACAAACACACTTCATAACGTATAGCCACAGGGGCTGGAGCTGCCATAGCTGCTCAGTTAAAAGCACATACATTACACACACATTTTTTTTTGAACTCCTAATATGTGCCTCTCTCTCCCCCCAACACTCCCCACTCCAACGACTGCAACGTGTTGGGTTTTATTCATTACAAGAGGAGGCAAAGTGCAACATCAATCAGACACCTCTGTACACTGTCTGTGTTGCACGAAGGAGAGGACAATGGGGGTAAATGCACTTGTTTCCTAAAGAGACTTGAGCTGCAACTGACTTGTTTCCTCCCCTGCACGATGGTGCCCCCAGGTGGAGTCTTTTGTTCTGTACCACTGAGAGCACAAGGGGTTCAGTTTCCTTATTCATGCACGAAAAAAAAGAGGAAGGAGGCTTCCTAGAGGCTGCAAATATACTCCCTAAACGCCCCCACCACCCCCCCACCACCAGGCTCCTCCCTGCTCTCCCAACACGTAAACCAGGGCAGGATCACTCACAGGAGCCTCAAAAAGGGGGGTAACTCGACTCCTTTTGCTGGAAAGAAGACTCGCGAGAGAGATAGTGAGAGAGAGAGAGAGAGAAAGGAAGAAAAGAAAGAAAGAGGGTGGCTTTGCTCTTGGAAAGCAGAAGGATTTGGTTAAAACACACACACACACAAAGCAGGGAGCTTCTGATCAGGTGGTGTTTATACAGGATCTATTTGTATTATTTATAATGTCTTTATACCTCCAAACCCTGTGTCTGTGTGTGTGTCTGTGTGTGTGTGTGTGTGTGGAAGGGGGTGGTGGGGTGTCTGTGTGTCTGTGAGCAATTGAATTGAGTGTCTGATTCTGTCCTGTATTTGCTGAGAAAATGGCTTAGAGTCACATGTGTTGGTGTTGCTGAGCTGTTGCATAATAGCTAATGCTGTAGCACTGTCATTATTATCATCATTATTATTATTATTATTATTTTCCGCCACTGTTAAGCTCTCTGAGACGCTACCGTGCATGGAGGGCGCTGTTCAAGTGCAAGTTGTTGTCGTCGTTATAATAGTTGTTTATTTCCCGCTCGGTTCTCACCCCCACCCTGACTTGCTCTTCCGCAATGGTTGTGATGTTGATAACTCTTTTAAGTGAACGCTGCAGACAACATGTGGTTGCAGAGCAGGACACATGCTGCAAGGCTCAAAGGCACCCGTGTCTCCTTGTTTGATCACAATGATACGTTCATGATTCTAACGCCAGAAAGTACAGCATTATTATTTAGAGCTTCCTTTCTGATTGTGCTTGCAAGTCACCTACCCCCTCCCTCTCCCCTGGCTTGGGGTCAGACCCCGCCACTGTCAAGCGCTCCGTGACGCTACCCCGAGTGAAGAACGCTATATAAATGCAAGTTGTTCTTCTTAGTAATTGTACATAAAGCGTCACGTTCACACTTGTAACCACATCCCATCAATATATTATTATATTGCAAATAAAAATATAACTTTGAAACGTCTCAACGACGTGATAAGGCGTTATATCAAATGCAAGGATTATTATTATTATATCCCCACATTCAGATATCAGCCTTAATGCTGTACAGTAAATTACAGACCACCGTGCGGTAGGTAGTAGATTGAGGAATATTGACAACACTCTCAGGCATTAAATGCTGAGTTATGCTTGGTTTGTATATTGTTAAGCATGGTGACGGGTTTCCGCATGTGTCAGACACCCGGCTGACCCCCCACTCCCCTCCACCACCACCCAAAAACATATACGTTCTGGAGTCCCCAAGTCTTACTGGGTGGAATTAACAATAATCTATCATGAGATAAAGACAATATATGAGACAGTGTATATTTTTTATTTACAGCCAGTAGATGTTACAACAATAGCATTTCCTCTACTTGTGGTCTATTGGAGTTCAGTATCTCAGTGCATTGTTAGGGCCCTGGTGGGTATACACTAGTCCTCATTTAAATTCTGCCATGTACTGTTATCTATCATCCAAGATGGAAGGGTGGGGGGATAGATAGAGGGAAGTCTGCAGGATACTTTTGCAGTTGGTGAGGGGAAAAACTTGGAGACTCAGGCCCACAGCATGGCTCAATGTTGTGTAACTTAAAATGAAAGAGGTGAAAATGTACCATCAACCTCTAAAAGAGACCTTGGATGATCCTTCTGTTGAAAGTCAGCCCTGAAATGTTAACCCATCCTTTTCTCTTTCAGATGCTGATCGCCCTGTCCTTTCCCAGCATTTTTGGTTTGTGTTTTGTGTAAGTAGAGTTAATCCTATGTTTAATTCCTCAAGTCTACTTATATGGAGTCCTGTAGCTCAGTTGGTTAGAGCACTCAACTCACAAGCAAGAGACCTGGGTTTGGATTCCCAGCAGGGGAAGGTTGAAGACATGATAAAGCGCTATATCAAATGCAAGGATTATTATTATTATTAACATTCAGCAATGTCACGATACACGTTATTTACAAATTGTAATTGGTAAACATCTAATATTATAATAATAACATTCCTTGCATTTGATACAGCGCCTTATCACGTCGTTGAGATGTCTCAATGCGCTTCAAAGAATATATAGTAAAGTGGATAGACTATATTTTGTGGGCTAAACGTGGCAGCCAATTGCGCACAGCGTTGAGACGTTTGAAGATATATGATCAATATAAAGGACATATGATCAATATAAAAGTGCAATTTTATTTTCTTTCTCCTTGATTTATTTTTCCTTTTTTTTGTTTTTAAGAATCTTGTAAAGATCAAACCCACCTGCCTTCCAGCAACATGGATTTTGAATTGGTAGAGGAAGGCCCAACTTGCAGTGAAACACATGAGAGCACCAACAAAAAGGAACGCATAAATAGAATTGGTAAAACATTTAAGTGTTTCGTCCTTATATAGCTGACGTTTTTTTCTTGTTTTTTTTCTTCTAGTCAATAATTCTTTTATTTTAATAGCATCTACTTGGAAATTCTTGCATTCAGCTCAGTTTTTTCTGTACTTGGCTCATTCGTTGTCCACGTGGGTAAGTTGCACCATTTTGTCATTCTTCAACCAATAACATGTAAATGCCTCGGGAGCTGCCCTAATATATTCTGTACAATTAAAACTTCTCCCTCAATTGCAAAGTTAGTTTCTAAAATTGGTTTCTGTTTGGAATTCAATATGCTTGTTGTACTGATAATTATTTTCCCACTTGTTTACACAAACTGACCTAACAAATATATTGCTCTTTCAACTATACATAAACATGATGTAAAACATGTTAGATATATCACAATATACCTTGCCTTGTATGTTGATAATTGTTACAAAAGTAACAAAAGTAACAATTCTGATTCTGACTAGTGATAATAAATAATAACAGATCAAAATAGCACCATACAAAAGCAAATGCAACAGTATGTTAATAGATGCAGTAAATATTCAACAATAAAATGGTTAGTAAAACCTAATTCAATACTGAACACACAGTACTTCCTTGATCCAGAGCAGAATTCAAAGAAATCTGGGAACAGATTATTCTGTCCTCTTGACCACAGCCTATACAGTATATGCATAGAAATCATAACCATTACAACTAAAACCAACATTATGTATGCTGGAATGTCCAGTACTTTAAATGTACTTGAATAGGTGTTATCCTGTCTCAGTTGGTAGTACTCTCGCCTAAGAGTCAGAAAGTTGTGGGTTCAGGCTCTAAATTTGATTAAAATAACGCTAAGCATGTTTTTTTCTTGACTTTAACCAAGCTGCAATGAATAATTTTGTGTTTTAAGGGGGATCGCATGTGGCATTTTGCCGTCTCACTTTTCCTAGTGGAACTCTATGGAAATAATTTACTGCTTACAGCTGTGTTTGGGTTAGCCATTTCTTCAACTCTGATTTTATTTGGAGCTTTGGTTGGAAACTGGGTGGACAAGAATCCTAGAATGAAAGGTATTCAACACACCAAACATTTGTTTCATTACGAAATGAAATCTTACAACTTTCTGTTGAACATTTAGAATTATTGTGCCATACTTGGATGTTAAAATGTTCACAAATTTTAATATTGTGTATTTGGATTTTACAGTTGTACGGATAGCCCTGGTTATCCAGAATCTGTCAGTGATCTTATGTGCTGGTGGGCTTATGCTATTCTTTAGCTATAGGACCCAGATCATTGTCCTGTGGAGTGGTTGGATGCAGGTAACTTAAAACGCAGTGAAAAACATGTTTTTTTTTGCCAATTATGACTTCTCTTGCCAATAGTCACTGGCATCTTGCTTTTTTAACTATTTGTAGGTTTGGATGTTAAAATTTTGTCAAACAATCTATACTTTGTACTTTTCAACTTCTGAGACACTTATACAGTTCTTTCTTGGAGTCATTCAACCCGAATTATCTACAGAGAGTTTGCTGAACATGCCCACTAATGTTTGTGTGTGTGTGTGAGGGCAAATCTTATGCAATCATAAATTCATATGACTTCTAAAATTATGAATTGCCATGTTCTAGGTTTTCCTATCAACATCTGTTTGTTTGTATTCCTTAAAGAAAGAACACAACAATGTCTCCCTGTAATTGTTGAAGCAAATATTGTAGACTTCATTTGTGTTGGATGCAATTCTTAACAGATCCACCAGGAGGCTACAGAAATTGACTTAAGTCCCCCATTTATAAAAAATGCAATTTATCTCACAATTACTTTAATGTAAAATTAGAAAACGATTACGTAAAGGATTCATTGTTTTGTAGAATGTATAATTTTTATGTCTAAAATAGCTCCCATTTTTTTTCGGCTGACTTATGCAAGCTTGCTATATTGGACGGGGAGAAAAGATTCGTAGCTATGAATTAGTGATGGTTTAATGTTATAATTTATAACTTCCGTTTCACGTTTCTCTCTATTTCTTGACTAGATGTAACAATTATAATTTCCAACAGTAAATTCAGTCGTACGTTTTCACTAAACCAAGGTACAAAATGTTTATTTAGAAAAAAGAATAGAATTGTACAATAAATTTCAAATATCATAACATTTGCTGTATAATATTGAGCATCCTAATTTAAAAATGTGATAGATATGCAAATCTTTTGAATACATCTGTATAAATGAATTTCTTTTAAAACTTGATTTTACATAAACCTGTACTGTCAAATTATTGAGTGATGATATGGATGAGTGAAATGAATAACATTTCAAAAAACATAGGTTGTGAATTTTATTGATTTTTTAAAAATATAATTTTCATCAATTTATTTCTATTTTCAACAGGTTTTTTGTTATTTTTTCATCATTACTATCGGTGTGATTGCAGAACTTGCCAGTACAGCGATGTCAATCTCAATCCAGCGAGACTGGATTATAGTAGTAGCTGAAGATACTGACAAGCTATCAAGTAACTACACTCTATATTTTTGCACTGCAATTGCAATTATTTTATAGCTACCGTTAGTAAAGTGTTGACTCATCAATCTGTTTTGGTGACATTTACCACCATTCTGGAACAGTTTGCAGATCTGCTTTCTATGAAAATTGCCAAACTTCAATTAGCCCTTGTATAATTTGGTGTCTGTAATTTCTATCGTTTCCAATAATTGGTTTTTATTTTTAGGCCCAGATCTCATTCCCAAATACCCTTTATGTTTTGTGTTATGTCTTTGGGAAAGAGTTGAACAAGGTGCAGAGATCAGAACTGTGACTCTCCTTTTGCAATATGGATGGAGGGGACTTAAAGCCAACAGTTGCTCCTGGGTGTAATTGAAACTTTTTAACCTGATGTATAGCATTGCTTACCTTTTTGAACAAGCTGCAAAGCGTCAGTCTTCATCATCGAGAAGTCCTGTAGCTCAGTGGTTAGAGCACTCGCTTTGCAAGTGAGAGACCTTAGTTCAATTCCAGGCAGAGGGCGAAACCTCGGGCAAGTTTCCTTACTCCACACAGAGCCTAATAATGATCCCTCCAAAAAACAAAACGATAATAAATTGGTCATTTTCAATCCATGACTGTTTTTGGGACACTGCTGTGCGCAATTGGCTGCCGCGTTCGCCCACAAATATACAGTCAATTCACTTTACAGTATACTCTGTGAAGCGCTTTGGGACGTCTAGAAGACATGAAAAGCACTATATCAAATGCAAGGATTATTATTATTATTATCATCATTGTCAAGCGCTCCAGGACGCTACCCCACGTGAAGGGTGCTATATAAATGCAAGTTGTTGCTGTTATGAATTTCCAAAGGTTATTTGTTTAGAATGTTTTCAATTTTTATTTGTCTGTGTTTGATTTTACAGGTATGAACGCTAATCTAAGACAAATTGATCTTCTCAGCAAGCTTCTCTCACCAATGGCTGTGGGTCAAATCATGACTTTCAGCTCCTCGGAGATTGGCTGTGCCTTTATAGCTGGGTGGAATTTGTTCTCCATGTGCTTTGAATATTTATTGCTTCAGAAGGTGTATAAAATTACTCCAGCATTAGCCATAAAGAATGTTCAACAGCTTACTAATCAAGAGGAGCAGCATGAAGCTTCAGGTATAGTACAAATGGCTAAAGCTGATAATTGCGATATTTTACTGGATCATCTAAACTGTTATAGAATCCTAAAATAAATAAATAAACAAACCATATACATAGAAACCAGCTCAACACTTGTGTTGAAACTATTTGTATTTTACATAACAGATCATGATTTTAATCTATCAATACATTTTATATGTTCTTCAGCACTGATTTTGGGATTGACACAATTTGTATTGCGATTGAATTATGCTTTTGTATAAGTTTGTTTATCTGCATACATTTCTACCTTTATATTTTCTATATTTAAATTTTCGAATCTTTTAACTACAGTTGAAACTCAAAATGCATAATTATCGTATAAGAAAAATTTCTTGCAGTGAATGTTACCATTACCATTCTATTATGTCCAACTAAACTTTTAATTATTTATTAATAATAATAACGATCCTTACATTTGATATAGCACCTTATCGTCTCAAAGCGCTTCACTGTAAAGTGAATTGACTATATTTTGTGGGCAAAACGTGGCAGTTAATTGCGCACAGCAGTGTGCCAGAAACAGTCATTAATTAAGTGACCAAATTATTATTTTTTTGAAGGGATTATTACCCTCGGAGAGCGATCTGACAATCGACTAACAACCAATCTGACAATTGAATAACAGCCAGTTAGTTGGTTCCTGCCTACTTACTTATTGCTAGGTAAACAGTAAACTAAAAGTCAAACAAACAAACAAACCAAAAGCATCAGAAATCATGAACCCTTAGATTAATAATTTGTTGCTGCTCCATGAGAATACTTAATTTTAATCACTTGGTGTGGGATTCATTTACATGTTTTCCAATTGTTTTAAACTTGTCTTTATTTTACTTATTATTCTCTTTCTCAAAAGACAATATGATTTTGCTTTTCTCTTTTGCAGAAGAAAATCAAACCTCCTTTAAGGAATCTGAGATGGTGGATACTCCAGTTCCTGAGGGAGATGGCGTTAGTAGCAATTCTAGGAATCAAAATCCTGATAAAACTGGTGGACTTAGGAGCATTCTGGTTCCTCTGAAGACATTGCAAAGCGGCTGGATTGCCTATTACAAGCAGCCAATGTTCCTAGCTGCGTTGGGCCTCTCGTTTCTTTACATGACTGTTCTGGGATTTGATGGAATTACGATAGGATATGCCTATGCGCAAGGAGTATCCAGTTCTGTCCTCAGTATCATGGTGGCGTTGGCTGCTGTATTGGGATTAGTAGGCACTTTGTTTTTTACAATATTGAGAAAATATTGTGGTCTCGTTCATACTGGACTTTTTTCAAGTATTGCACAAATGGCTTGCCTCACCCTTTGCATAGCATCAGTCTTCGCTCCTGGAAGCCCATTTGATTTAAGTGTTCCTCTTCACTCACATGCATCAAATCAAGTGGAAGCCAATGCAATTAATGTATATCCTGCTTTTACTTCTAATGGATCCGTTACAAAGCCTTCACTACAATCCTCTAATTTGACTTCACATCTACCAATGCACCTGACAAACTCCACAAAAGAATTTGATTACACTTCTATAGCTCTGTATTTTGCTGGGGCAGCTACAGCAAGAATTGGTCAGTGAAAGTATTAATTATTTCATGAACTACTGCATATATGGATCTTATAATATGATAGGCATGGTGTAATGTGAAGTATATATTAAGACATGTAACGTGATCATCATGAATCACGTGATTAGCACTTTTTTTGTAATAGACCTGCAGTAAACGTATAAGTAAGATAACAACAACATTTAATAGACAAGGTTGAAGAATTATGAGCATTTAGCAACTGTGTGTTGGTCAAAAAGTAAATTAAGAATAATTTAATATATAATAAATATAGAATAGAAAAATTAATGCTGGAGCATAATACATTGAAGCAAATAGGTTGAAGACAAAACATTCATAACTAAATACAGAAACTTTTTTTTAATATGTAGTTCAAACTTAATCCTTTAAAGATAAACGGAATGTTTTGCAGATGAGGCTTTGAGACTTTGAAGTTTCAAAAAAGCCAACAGAACGAATCCAAGGATTTATTTTAAAACTTAATTTTTGTTCCATCAAAGTTAGCACACTTTAGAAACTATAAAAGAGAAACTTGATGAAAAAAAGTCACGAGTAGAATTTTTTTTTCATTTCCTCTCTATGTGGTCAAAAATAGTCTCTTATGATTTTGCAAATAACTGTATTTTAATCTTATAGGAATTATAGGAATTGTTTGCAAATCGTTAATCTAAAAATGTTTGCTTTTCTAGGTTTATGGAGTTTCGACCTCACTGTAACACAGCTTATTCAAGAAATGGTTCATGAGTCAAAGAGAGGGATTGTAAATGGTGTTCAGGGTTCCATGAATGCCATTATGGACCTTCTTCGCTTTGTCCTGGTCATCATAGCTCCAGCACCAGAACACTTTGGTTTTCTTATTATCCTGTCTGTGATATTTGTGTCTTTGGGTGGGTTTCTTTACTTTTGTTTTGCAAGAAAAACTCTGGGGAAGCATCTGCACAAGTGTGTTTGTATGAAAGAAAAAGGCAACTGTAGCAATCAAGTCACGAATGTGGTGGTAGAATCCTTCCTCTGATTATTTCGCAGTAAAATTTTGTCAGCATAAAATGAGTTTACATTTCATTCAGGTAATTATAGAAACTGTACAATAATTCCAAGTATTGAATGTACAGTTTAAATTAATGTGAATATGACTCAACTTTGTACAGCACAGCAGTGTCTCCTGGACTTTTAAGATTCTAATACAAGGACAGAGATGATTGAACAGTTAACGGTGGGGAGAGTGTGCAGTATAACTTGATGTTATGCTCTCACAATTGTACCAGTGTAACACTCCATTGCAGAATATAACTAGATTGCCAGAGTAATAATAATAATAATAATCCTTGCATTTGATATAGCGCTTTTCACGTCGGGAGGACGTCCCAAAGCGCTTCACAGAACACACTGTAAAGTGAATTAGAGATAGTTTAAGGAATAAATATCAAATTCAAAAAAGAATGTTCAAATGAATCAGTATAGAATATGCCAACATTCTGGATGTTGAATTACTAAGAAAATAAAGTAAATCTAGACATGGGTGGAATTTCCCTTGGCTTATTAAGATGCCAAAATGGTATCTACTAATTTATAACGAGCTGTAATACCCTCTGCTTCAGTATGTGACTACATGTTGACATCTTGAATATTTATTAACAAGCCAAGGGGTAGAAATTCCACCTGTGTCTGGATTTACTCTATTTTTAGTCATTCAGTTTCCAGATTGTTGGCAAATTGTTAAATACATTCTATTTTTTTCTTTAAGTTCTTTTAAGAACTGCTACCCAAACCCCTTTAAATTTAGCAGGAATTTGCCTAATTCTGCACACTCCAAAATACTAAACGGAGTAGATTAAATATAAACCCTGGTGGAATTTCTATATCCAAGTGTTTAAATGGTTGAGTTGTGAAACTAGTCTGAATCTGCAGAAATTTGTGTAGGCAGGCTTCAACTGGATTGGGGTCTATGATGCATCATAGTACTCTTAATTATTCAATTAATAATTAATGAAAAGGGTTTAGTAATTATGACATGAATAATGTACATAGTTTTCATATAGTTTACACATGGTGTATGACAGACCATTATCCTTATTTTAGGATAAAAACTAAATCAGAGCAACTAATTCAATACAAATTTAACTTGCAGTAGATCTGTAAGTTATGATCTGTATGTTGAACTTTATTTCTGAAACGGATGAAGTTTCACAATTCTGCAGCCACTAATGCAGGGAATGATGCCATTGTAAACTTTTTTTGACTTATGGTGCTTTTAATCATTCTTTTGTTAGTTTTTTTGCTGTCCTGTCAAATGTTGTTGGATATCTGTTTTAATAAATAGAATTAGTTTAAGAATTTTCTGCCACTAAAACACAATGACTGTTATAGAATGTATCAAAATGTCTTATTGAAATAATCCGTTTTGGTTTGATTTTCCATACAATGATAACAATTGATTCCACACAGGCAGATATAGAGAGCAATCTTAAATGGTATTGTGCTAGCCTCTGTATTTTAATTTGTTTGGATACTTGCTCAGGTATACAGAACAACTAAGGTAATTCTGTGAAGTCCTATTCATTGTGGTAACATACAAGCTTTCAGTCACTACGCCTCTAACCTCTGGAACTCCCTACCTCCACCCCTCTACCTTGCTCCTCTCTATTCATAAATCCCATCATTAAAACCTACCTCTTCGATCACACCTATTGTTATCTCCCCCTTCTCCTTTGCTCACCATCCAACCTTGGTACTGTGAAGAGCTCCAAGGAAATATCCTATATGAAGTGTACGATATAAGTGTAAGTTGTGGTTAAGAACATTTTAATAAAAAAGCATTTTGCCCCTTGTGTCCATTTTTCTCTATAGTTCAGCCAATGTCTTTAATCGATCAATAATCAACTGGTTCAGTCTTTGAACAATTATGATCAAGGTGCAGAAATGTTTTACCTACTTGGTGTGATTTGGTGCGAGTACAGTATGGATTCACATTCATAATTTAATTTTCAACCATAACTGGACAATAGAATGTGGGAAATGTTCATCTTGAACATCAGAACAATATCAACAGCCTTTTGCATATTGTGCATTTTACACCAATTAATGTGTTTAATGGGGTATTTGTGAGTTGGTTCATTACATGTGCAATATTTCCTCTAGGTTTTCATTGCTAATCCTTGGCATTAATTAAACAAAGTTTATCTGGTCTTAATTCACATAGGCTCCACAAAAGCTGGCAAGTAAACATTCATAATTAATTGCTGAATAGGACATGTGCATGTGGTGTTACTGATAGCAACAAAAAAGGCTTGTTTTTCAAATTAAATCTACCGTCAATCAATTTATAGAATTGTATTGCGATGAATTGGGAAAATATTTGCAATACTTAACTTTGACATATAAAATTTTATTTGTTATACGAATTTGAAAGGAACGACACGTTCTGCTTTCATACCTGCTGCACAAACCTCAATTGTCCTCGAGGGCTGCTGTCCAGGTCACCACAACAGCATCCCCTGCTGCGTGGCCGCTTCCACCAGCAGTCCCTGTTCGCGGCTCCCATTTTTGGGGGGACAGGGAGTGTCTGGCACGTGTGGAAACCCATCACCGTGTGGAAATCCCAGAGACAGATTGTCGGAACGGAATGCACACTCCCTGGAGGGAGCATCCGGTTTACCTAATTCCATATTAGGCGCAGGTTGGCAAGAGCCCAGGCTTGGGGTGCCCCAGATTAAGCGATGGGGGTCATTGCTGGAGTCTAAACCAGCTAAAACCGCACGGCTTGCCATTGATGTCGCTGTCTGGCAAGCTTCCCTTCCCGCTGGTCGGCCAGCTGGGACCACCCCCACCCGTTAGGGCTTCGGCTTGCAGGGTTGACAGGAGCTGAGTGGGATGGCTCCCTGCCCCTCTGACTGGCCTGCCCTGCCAGGTCCTGCGGATGAGCCGGGCCGAGCTGAGCTGGGCTGCGATCAGCAGTGAGCGAGCGAGCGAGTGAGTGCCCTGGAATATCGCAGACCCGTCCGGCTCAGGAACCGGACGAGAGACGGCCACCACCACAGACATTCCGTGGCCGAGAATGTCGCCTTGGACCCCACTTGCCTTGCCCCCGAAGGAGGATGCGCGGGGTTTAACAGGAGCTTGGGTGGGATGATTCCCTGTCCTGGGGGACCTCCTTCTATCTTCTCTCTCTGTGACAGTGTCTGACTGACTGCAGAGATTGCTGCTGCTGCTGCTGCTGTTGCCCAGCTCTTGCTCTTGAGGCTCTGCTCTGGACTTTTTCTCTCGACTTGCTTCTCCATCCTGACGTCAGGGATGTGCTTTGCTCCCATCACTGAGAGCCTGAGCTTGTGGTGTTGGAGTAGATGATATTAGCAGCAGCAGCAGCAGCAGCAGCCACTGGCTCTGACAAGCTAACCATTGCACCGTTTGTTCCAGAGAGAGAGAGAGCATTTATTTATTTAACACATATATATATATATGCACATTTTTTTTTTGCCAGCTTCTCTGACTCTTCATGATCTCCACAACCATGGTTGCATCCCACACGTCCACCCATTCTTCTGTCACCACGGAATGGATGGTTTGTCTCGATAAAAGGTGAGTGAGAGCAAAGCTGGTGTTGGTTCATTGTCACAAATGCTCTTGATACCAGAAAGCAAATGAGATGGAAGTAAAGGGGAAAATGAATTGTGTGTGTGTTTGTGTGTGTTTGGGCTAATATCTCTCCATTTCAGGTTTCCTCCCCCACCTCTCTCTCTCTCTCTCTCTCTCTCTGTCTTGTACACATTGCAATAAAGCAAAGGGAATATCACAATGAGGTTGAATGTGCTTTTTTTTTTGTTCATTAATCAGCCAAAAATCAGGGAAGCTTGGACACTATCACTATTCCCACACTGAATCATGGTTGTAAACCTTTTCTAGATAAAACACCTCTCTCTCTCTCTCTGTCTCTCTCTCTCTATATATGTGTGTGTGTGTGTGTACACCTGTGTATAAAATGTCAAATTCTCATTTACTTATTAAATTGAACTCGATTGATTAATTGATTGAAACAAAATCACAGGTACAGGTGTAGTAAAGAGGCATAGTTTTGTGAAGGTGTATTTATACCAATGAACTAGTTAAACCTCGTGTTAATATCTATACTCCTTTTTTTATGTTGATAACAAAAGCCAAGCAGTTCAACAGCATCTCCTTCAAAGAAGATTTATATCAAATGCATTTGATTCTTATTCTTATTGTTTCTTGCTGATACGTATCGCAGATTTTTCTTCGATTGTTGGCATTTTTGAATCACCACATTTGCTAGTGACACTAAGGTATATGAATGAGTTCAGTGTCTTATTTCCATCAGTTGGTTTGGAGGCTAGGAGCATTGGGTGAAAAAGCTACATCTAATAAAACTGCTGGCTGACATTTTTGTACATTAAACTAATGGTATAATTCTGCATTAATGTTCCGTAAATGAATAATGTTAGACTATTTAATATTGAATATTTTAGCTGAATCTGGGGGAATGTGAGATCTGTTCTTAAAACTAAGTGTTTCAGATGTTCTCACAAATTGAAAGTTGCAGTAACAATAACAAAGGTACATAGATGCTTGAGGCCTGTATAGAAGATAGAATAGCTATGATTATGTTTAATAAATTGGTACCTGGTCAAAATATAATTGTTTTCAAAATTAATAAACAATGCGGCATTCAACATGTAAATGTGTAGAAAAATATCCTCATAATCAATTATCAACAGTTTTTCAATAAACCTACAGCAAACATAATAATAATAATAATAATAGCTGTGAAGCACTCCAGGGCTCCTATTTACTGCTTGGTAAACAGGCGTGTGGAGTAAGGAAACTTGTCTTGCTTTGGAATCAAATCGAGGTCCTCCCACTTGTCTGGCGATTACTCTAACCAATACGCTACAGGACTCTTAATTGATTCTTTTCTTGTGTGAACATCATCATACTTCACCAAGCTACCAACAGTCAATGTCAACATCAACAGCCATAACATCGAACGCGAATCCAAAACTGAACACAAATTACACTTAAATTGACCAGGATACTTTAAGCAAAAAGAAAAGTAAGTACAAAACAGTAGCCTAACCTATGGGTAGCCTTTGGGGCAGAAGATTGTGGGTTCAAGCCCCACATTATGACTAGGGGTTGAAGTCTAGGCTATCATTCCAGTGCAGTACTGAGAGAATGCAATATCTTTAGAGGTGCCGTCCATTGGATGAGATGATAAAACTGCGGTCCAGTTTGCTTGTCCTTCGGATGGACATTAAAAATCCCAAGACGATATTTGAAAAAGAAGGGAATTTCTCCCAGTGTTCTGCCCAACATCAAATTCTCTTTGAGTGCAGCTTAGCCCTATTCCCCTCCCCTAGGAGGATTCGCGCCTGTGGTCTTTTGAGACGAACGGATCACCCACATTCAGATTTCAAAATGAGAGCAAAGTTAGCGATTTACGAAGAATTACAGAAACCAACGCCAAATTGTTGACTTAAATGTATTGTCAGCCTGACTGAGTTGGTAGCACTTTCGATGAATATGAATATGAATATGATACATATGCTGCTACAGCGTTAAGAGATTTCATCCTGGCCGCTGCTTTTCTGAGGATAATAATCCTTCAAAAAATAATAATAATAACTTGGTCATTCAATCCACGACACTGTGGGCCACTGATGTGCGCAATTGGCTGCCGACAAATATACAATCAATTCACTTTACAGTATATTCTGTGAAGCGCTTTGAGACGTGTCGAAGATGTGAAAAGCGCTATATCAAATGCGAGGATTATTATTATGATATTATTTGAAAAAGAGATGCGCTGTATACATTTTTTCAAACTGCACATGAAGCATATCGCATTAGCTACATAGCCACTCCTGGAGGCATATGTGTTGTGATGAGATGTGTGACAGAAGCATATTGGAAGAACATTCAAGGTCTCTGTATTGGCTTTCCAAAACAATAAAAGCCGTGAGAGACACAAATCTGATAATACAACCAATTGTTATCGCAGGTGGAAACATAACAGAGAAAGCTCAGAACGGTTCTGTTAAAAAATTGAGCAATTTCGCACCATTAGACTTTTTTTCTGTGGATGATTTGTAAAGTGGATTGCTGGATAAGAAGATATGACTTGATGTCTGGCAGAACCTGTACAGGGAAGAAACTGTGATCTTTGCGAGAGCACAGACAAAAATGGCAGTGTTATTAGATTCTAAATATCAAGTTGCAGTTACAAGAGACAAAGGACAGTGACTCAACATAATTGATTCTGGGTGTTGTTTTCCTCTGCACAAGTTTGTTTTTTGCAGTTGCAGACTCATTAGCTGGATTACCTTAACATCTTGTCTGCAACATATATCTAATAACAACTGTCAGCTTGCGTTCTGTTTCACAGTACTAATCAAATACAATTTCTGCAAATTAATAAATCTCTTATGGCAGTCCTGTTTTAAGGCTGGCCCTTGAGCTACTTGTACTATTAAATCTATTTACTATTAAACGGAGGCATATGTTTCGGTCTCTGATCTGCGCTGAGTGAGCTGATCTAGGCTGGGTAGCGGCAGGGGGAAAAAGAATTAGTTTTGGTGTTTAAGAGAGATGTAAAAAAAATAATCACACTTCTCACACTAGACCACTAGCCGGTACTGCACAGATGTGCACATTTGGGTTATAGATAAGGACAAGATCAGGCTCTATCGGTGAAGTAGCCTGAACATTCTTCTCGTGCATGAAAAACAGCATTTGGACCCAATCCTAAAGGGCTACTATTGTGCTGTAGCCCGGTATAAATTGCTGTTTTCAGAGAAATAAAAGTGCAGATATATCAAGAGTGACTTATTAGCCAAATGGCCTTTTTCTGTGCTGTAAATTTCTATGGTGCATTGCTTAAGGACAGGATGGACCTGTTCATTAAAGCAGATCTCGCTCCCAATCCATGTTTGTTCTCACTGATTAATGGAGGTTGCGCTCTTAGACTACAGTAGACGGGATTAGAGATCTGCATGTGAATCAATTTTTCACATGAAAAGAAATGTTTAGGAGCACAGGGGTTGTTAGAGGAGACCAAAAGACAGATATTGTATCTGCTGCTGCTGTTGATGTAGGGTTATTGTCTGAGAGGCGGAGGAGTTGTGGTGGCAAGGGTGATTAACATTTCATATGGAAATGTTGACCTATTTTTCACTTGATTGAACTGTAGCCGGTTCCCAGGATTTTAGTATTAATTTTAGATTTTTGGCATTCGCAGTTTGTTTTTATTTAGATTATACTTTAAAAATTAATGTAATGCCAAATCACTTAGTCTCTTTATAATCAGGGATATAAAGGGATATAAAGCAGAGGTGACCTGGGAGTTATATAGTCATCTCATAGCGCACACTATGTGTTACAAATACATCCATTAGGCAAAAGCAGATACTCGATTTACTCCACTCGAGCTTCAACTGGCCTGTAAATTCTTATTCGATGACTCGCTGAGGTTAGCTGTTAGAAATGTCATTTGTCACAAACTAGCATTAAAAGGGAAATTGCAAATGGGGTCATGGGAATGACTTATGTGCTTAGTGAAAATATCTTACCAATAATAATAATCCTTGCTTTTGATATAGCACCTTATCACATCTTCGAGACATTTCAAAGCGCTTCACACCAAACGCTTGGGTGGGGGGACGGAAGAGAGAAAGGACAAAAGAAAGAAAGAAAGAGTGGAGGCTTGGTTCAATCTTCTGAAATATGATGTTCAGGTCGAATTTGTATTGTTTTTTCCGTCGTGAAAGCTTTCGATACATTCATAAGCTGTATTAGTCCATATCGTTTTCACTCAGGAAGAAAATCAATGAATATTTCAGCGTATGGTTACCCATTACTGATGGGCGAGAGCTATAACATTCTGTATATACGGCTAATTTGCCTGTGCCTACAGCACAAATAAATTATGGATTGAAATGAAAACCAGCAATGGATCATTGGTGTAACATTTTCCTTTCTTGTGTAGGTGAAAAAGGCCAATATATCAGAATGAGGGGCTATATAAGATGGCAGAGGTGTAAAAGCACAATTGACGTCTGGCAATGACACAGTTTACAGAGAAATCTGCATTATCTTCCAAGCACACAGTTGTCCTTTATTTATTCAGTTTGGACTAATGGAACTAGGACTAATTTTTCTGTCCTCAACGGAAAGGTATTGAAGCCAATTGTAGCATTTGAACCTGAGATCAGTTGAGATGTATTGACCAACTGGTGTTTTTACACACCAGGAAATGGGCCATTGCGGAACTGTTTGCTAGTAGGTTAAAATACTTAACAGTATTTTCTTCTCAGTCTCTTAAAAACATTTTTCTTCTCTGTTAATATTGATTTTCATTCAGTAGTCTGGTAGTCGAGTTGTTTTCTCCACCATATTGTTGTGTGTTAAAATCTCAGCGAGGTCTGTCATTCACATCCATTCGCCACAGTTCAAGTGTTTTCTTTTCAATTTGTAATCGAGCTGGATTGTTGAGCACTTCGATGAAGCAGATTTATCCGACAAAGAAGAAAATGTGATGTTGTCATCTTAATCCACGTCAAAGAAGTAGCCTTCCCCTAACTATCCACTGATAATAATGTGCAGTGGAATCTGATTGATCGTAGAGGAGGCTACCGAGACCCATGACCAGATGTTTTATTATTACAGTGCTCTGAGATGTTATCCTGCGTGAAGTTGTTGTTGTTTGTAGCGTATTGGTTAGAGCACTCGCCTCGCAAGCGAGAGGACCCAGGTTCGATTCCCAGGAGAGGTGAAACGTTAGGCAAGTTTCCTTGTTCCACACTATCTAGCAGTAAGTAGGAACCCGGTTGTTAGTCGATTGTTGGATCGTTTTTCCGGGGGTAACGATCCCTTCAAAAAAATAATAATTTGGTCACTTAATCATGACTGTCAGTGGGACACTGCTGTGTGCAATTGGCTGCCGTGTTTCGCCCACAAAATATACAGTCAATTCATTTTACAGTATATTCTGTGAAATGTTTTGAGACGTCTCATGACCTGATAAGGTGCTACATCAAATGCAGGTATCATTATTATATTATTACCTTCAGGAAATAGTAAATTAATTAGCTGGTGTGGAGCTCTGCTAGTTCATTGCCCCACAGATTGGTACAATATGGATCTATGACTGGAATTCTTCACATTGTGAGTCTTAACCTTAGCTTTCCAGTCATGTCCTCTCATTTGAGTGGGAAAACGTGTGACTGACAGCATGCAGTCAACGCCAAAATTCCATCTCTAATCCATTAAGTACTCATAATATTCAACGTGAAATAAATGTCAGCCGTCAACTGAGGCAGACGTTTGCTTTTTTTTAAAGTATGTAATAGTGTGTTATATTTGACTTGTTGCTTAGTTACTGCTGCCAAGAATTGATAAGACCCGCTGCCTGCGATTTAGAATGTCACATACCAGTCAAACACCGGAAACATTTCTCTTCTGCTTTCTTTTCAGGGGTGAGAATTAACGTTGGATGCTCTTCATGATTTTCTTTCAGGGAGTTGGTGTGTTTTTTTTTAATTTCAGCCCCCGCCCCCCCCCCTCCCCACAAAAAAGATTGAATTGTAAATGGTTAATCGGAGTTTCAATCTCCATTTTGTCACTCTGTTTGCTCACGTATCATTAGTTCCAGAAAGATAAATATTCCCATGGTGCCAGGCCGTGTAAAAAGCTGTGCTACTCTAAGTGACAGGAGTCACATACCGAGTGTTAAATGCCAAACTGCGAACAGCCCTTTTAGTAAAGCATATGTTTGTTCCATGTGATTTTTGGTGTGTTCTCAGCCTGGTGTGCAGAATAATACTGATCTAAAGTTTCATTCGATATCAGTTTTGCTGCTCTTTTTCTCTCTCCGTCTCTCACTCACGCACCACGTTACCAATCTGGAAACAGCGTTCCACGCACGGTCTAACGCCAATAGAATGTTATTGCATCCGCTTGGCTCAGTTGGTAGCCCAGCTCGTCAGTAGGTTGTGGGCTACCGGTGGGAGTGTTGCATTGTCAGAGGTGCCATCCTTCAAATGAGAGGTCAAACTGAGGTGCAGGTGTCCTTCAGACATTAAGGATCTTGGTGCCTTGATCAACACTCCTCCAGATAAATTGGTCATTTGAATGCATTCATTGTAAATTGTCATTTAAAAAGGCTTTGATGCTCTCAAATCTTCAAGGGGCTGATTCCAATGCAAATACGATATTAGTAAACTTTACTACTAAATTTGGATTTTCGTTTATGCAATAGCCACAGTTATGTGGGCATCAGGCACGTGAACATCAGTGTTTGTCAGTAGAATAATTTTGCTCTGAGCAAGATAGACAGTATAGATTAAAGATAAGAGCATTATCACAGCTACTAAAATATTTATCGTCTGTATTGCATTTCCCTTTAGCTTAGTCTCTTCTGTTATAATCCATAGTCACTGGTTGAGTGTTAATGGCATTCAGCTCAATGTACTTTATGGGCTTTAGAGCTTTTAGCTTTCACTGGCAAGTAGTAGCTTCAGATTTTTATGTCCAGTTACATAAGTCAGAAGTACTGGTAGCTCCTATTCTGTACATGGCTGGAGGTCATCCCTGTCTTCGATTAGTAGCTTGCAGTTTTCCTATTGAATGGTTCTGTTTCAACTTCTGTATTGTTATTCGCTGCTCTGTCAGTTGTATTTTAGGAAAACTGGTTGAATAGAAGGGATACACTGTAAAGGGATTTGACTGTGTATTTTGTGGCCGAAATGTGGCAGGCAATTTATGCACAGTAATGTCCCGCAGACAGCCATGGAGTGAGCGACAATCTCAATTTAAATCGGTATTGAATGCAATCAAGAAGCACACACCAATACATAAACAGCTTCCTTAACTCGGAGAAAGCAGAACCACTGCTTCAACAACAACAACAAGATTCCATTTATAGAGCGCCTTTCACGTCGGGAGGACATCCCAAGGCGCTGTACAGTTGGGTCAGGACCCGAGCAGGGGGGAAATGGTCAGGGTGAGGGGAGGGAAGGGAGAGAGCGAGGAGGGGGTAGAGAGTCGAGAGGGGAGCTGAAGGCACGGTCAAAGAGAAAGGTCTTGAGACCGGCCTTGAAGGAGGAAAGGGAGGAAGCGGCGAAGGCACTGGGGGATAGAGTTCCAGAGCCTCGGGGCTGAGAGGCTGAAGGCCCGGCCACCGATGGTAGGGCGGTTGGGGCGGGGGATGTGGAGCAGACCGGAGCCAGAGGAACGGAGGGTACGGGCAGGTAGGTAGGGGGATAGAACATAATCTTTACTGAATTAACTGAAAATATTATATTAACCAAGTTACCAATATAAAGGAGATAGAAGACATAATGTGAAATAGAAGACAGGTTAGACAGGTAATTTGCATGAATCACCTTTATGAGATGGAGAGCAACGTCACATCACTTTTCCTTGGGTTGTTTGACGTACACATTAAGGTAGATAAAACATGTTCCGTGGAAAGAGCAGACTTGTTGGCCTTATGTTGTTCCATCTTCTTAATTGGTGGAAAGTGTTACATCAGCTGTTGAGTGTCTAGCTTGAAGTGTTGGCAAATATAGTGCATGGAGTTTTATGAATGGAAACACATCTCGTCACTGATATTAAATTTGCTCAGACTCTAACATTGATTGCAACATTTAATTCTTAATTGCCAGTCTATATACATTTCAGCGGTTTTTAAAGGAACTTAAAACAGATGGACATGAGATGTTAAGTCAAGCCTCCAAACCTATCCGAACAGTATTGTATGCCAACGTTTCTGCATTACTTGAACTCATCTAGTATTCCTTAAGTTTCTAAAAATCTTTGATAGAGAAATTTATGGAAAACCAAAACCTGAAAATGGGACCTTTGAATATCATCACCTTGAAGTGATTTAGTTTACAATATACTTAAAAATGCAAGGATTATTATTATTACATTATTATTATATTCCACCCATTCCATTGCTTCAGGGAAAGTTCAAAATAATACTCCCTGATTGCTAAATATTATTGATTTGAGAAAACTCAAGACTATGTTCTACTATTCAACCCTGACCAGCAACGTCCCCATCTCAGCAGCACAGATCTATTTGACCACCTCAGTCAGTGTGTACCTGTCCTGATCATCTTTAGTCTTGTTTCTATCCAGCTATTTCTTAGCTCTTCAGTTCACCGATGTTAAGTGTATAATGATTTTCTTTCAGACCAGCAGAGCGTTCCAGTGAAGACATAGATATTATATTTACTCGATTGAAAGAAGTGAAGGCATTTGAGAAATTTCACCCCAGCCTGTTGCAGCAGATCTGCTTCTGTGGATTCTATGAAAATCTCGAGAAAGGTGTGACATGTAAGTCAATCCTGCTAGTATTATCATATATACCAGTCTTTCCAGCGCCTTGGGACGTCCTCCTGACGTGAACGGTGCTATACAAATGTAATCTTGTTGTTGTATATTGGAATTTTGTTTAAAATCAGATTTTTAAGCTGCTTTATACATTAAATCTGCACGAGGACATTTGGATTTTTTGTAAACTGTAATATTTTCTCAAATAAAATATTTGTCAAAGCAGTTCCAAGGCTCACCAAAGGTTCCATCCTGTAATAATAATAATAACCCTGCATTTGATATAACCTCTTATCGCATCATCGAGACCCCTCAAAGCGCTTCACAGAATATAGTGTAAATTGAAATGACCGTATATTTTGTGGGCCACAGTACTGTGGCAAGAGTGGGGTATTTAGAGAAAACTACAAGCACCTTGTCCAAAACATCATATAAATAACGGAATAGAATAACCAGCTTGTCATAATTTTTACTACAAGATTTTGTTTCATTTTGAGGAAGGACGGTTTCTAAAGCATTGTCGGAAAATCACAAAGTGGACACTGTAATACACAGTAATAATATGTAAATAAAGCACCATAATGTTGAGGCCACTCAGCTTGTTCTACAAGAGGCTTAGCATCTATCAAAGGCTACTTCCTCAAAGAGAAGAGAGAAAGATGAATATTAGGTTGTAAGGCAATTACTCTGGTACCTGCATGTTGTAGGTGCGTGGGTATAATTCCCGTGATTACTTGTATTAAACTTGGCAGATTCAGATAGACAGACACCTGCCTTGATATCACATTGTTCTGAAGAAACTCTACTCAGAATAGTTAGATAGAAACTATCTGCAAACCAGGAACTGATTCACCAGTAGCAGTCATGGAGTCTGCCTTCATTTTCATAAGTACAGTGGTGCGATTTTGAACGGTTTCAAATATTAGGGTACAATTTTAAAAAAAATTGCTGAAAAATATAATTTCGACAAAGTTACAGGAGACTGACTGACTATTTCCATGTCAAATACCATGAATCAGCCCGAACTGTCTACTTTGCCAAGTAATATAAACTGCTTATCAATCTTCATGGCTGATTCTGACCACCAAATAGTTACTGTGGCCATCCTTGTCACTGATGTGCATATGTTCAGAATCGAAAACGAGCGAGTAGGGCTGAGAGGTTACATACTATTCCTGCTGCTTGGATCAAGGTCGCTTTGATCCAAATCAATGCAACAATTAGTCAGCGTGCTTCGGAAGGAAAAAAAAATCATTTCCAGTTAGAAATCCGTTCCCAGCAGCATCACAGCTTGAAGTTCAACACAAAGCAATCACTATTGCAACGGATAGATTACAAATAGAGACGTAGAATATACGGCTAATTTCCAGGTTGTTGGGTTGCTGCTGATGCTTGTGCAACGGGTAGCAAGTGACACCAGAAGTCACCGAACGACACCCACGTCAACCATTTGTAGTGTGGGAAGCTGGCTAGAAACAGCATGTACCATCTTTCGAGTTAATGCGGATCCATAGGAAGACCAGCACTGTTACGTGAGGACCTGTTATACATTGGCAGATGTTCTAACGTGGTTCCCCCCGTATAATTGCGTATCAAATGTCGTACACGACTTTTTTTTTCCCATGTGGATTTTTGTTTTGCGAGAGCTAAGCACAGAACTGTTTACAAATACCTGTACTGTGCTTTATGTTGGCTTTGTAGTGTTTCGGCAAGGGGACATTGGGACAAGTTGGTACGCTGTGCTCACAGGAGCTTTGGATGTTAAAGTATCAGAAACAGGCTGCCATCAGGTAAAGAGAGTGACCTTATTATGCACCCTTGAGGATTCTTTTCAAAATCCTAGTTGCCGTAATATCCTTTTTATAAAGAAACACTTTGTCTTTTTTGCACGACTATTCTTCCCATTTTTTTCCATTAAAAACTTCACCACAACATGTGCTCGTAGCTGTTTCTTTTGCTAACGCTTTGATTGAAACTAAACTGTAATACGACTGTGCTATTCTGGCAAGTTTTATCCAACAACTTTCGAGTAATATATAGAGGATAGAATATTTCTCATTACACTAAATGCTCATTGCTGCTTCTTTTGCTAAACTGACTTCCTTTTAAACATGGTCTGTTTTGGCGTCCTGTTTTTTTTCCCCTCTTGATTGTGTATATCTGAAAGGATGCTGTTACACTCTGTACTCTGGGAATTGGAACAGCTTTTGGTGAGTCAATCCTGGACAACACCCCACGCCACGCAACAATTGTCACCAAGGAGTACACCGAACTGCTTCGGATTGAACAGAAAGACTTCAAAGCACTGTGGGAGGTAAATCTAAAGGTTACTCAATCAAAAATCGTTAACATACAGAAGAAGGAAATGGTTTGTACAGTAAACGTGCTCGCTTCCTACCATTAACATTTCATTTTAATCTTGCAAAATGATGTATTCAGCACAACCACTTACAATAATATGTGGACATTTATCAACAATTCACAAAAGAAACTATTGCATTATTAGCTGCACTCAAAAATGCATTAAATTCTCCAAGGCAACAATTTTCAGGCATTCCATCGCTTACTGATAGGAACTTACCTTCAGGAAATAACAGATAAATCCTCGACACTTAAGGCAGATAACGCTTAGGTAACAAATAATTTTCGCAGCTCAAGAAGTACGTGCCAGGTAAGTGTAAATGAAAAACAAAATAAAAAAAACACCGGGTCGCTGAACGAATCGATTTAAAGGAATGGACCAAACTCTTGGTCGAGCACTCATTCATTTTGTTGAATACTCAACACGAATAAAGTAAAAAACAGTTAGATATTGCAACTTTAAACTGTGTTGCACTAATTATCTTTGCCAACATATGGAGTGTTAATACTTCAAGAGTGTGACAGTCTGTGGAATTAATTTGTAAACCGTGTGAAGTTGCAGCAGGATGAACAGAAGGTTTGCCATGAGCCACGTTTAATAAAAGTTGCATGAAACCAGAAACTGAAAAAGGCTAAAAGGCAATGGGATCTGGGAAAATTTGAGACAGTGCTATGAGCTGGAGGCAATACAACAGGAACAAATGAGAGCAGGTTTGAATTTGGGGATTGTGCATGTTTAATTACAGGTATTGTTAATTATGTAATTAATAACTGATGATTCGATAACCTTTTCTTGGTTAATTACATAATTAAGTGAAGTCTACACATGGTTAGCACAACCCGCAAATGAGCCCCTGATATTACCATAATGATTAGCAACCGGCTGAAGTGAAGGCAAGCAGAGGATAATCATTACAGGAGCTATTAAAATAGGGTATCCCAAGGCTCCTCTGGTTCCTTGTATACATTAATGACTTGGATTTGTAGATTAAGTGCAAACTGGTTAATTTTGTAGATGACCCCAAATTAAGGGGGGCTGGGGGGGGGGAACTGTGGAATTAGAGGAGGTATCCAAGATCTCGTAAAGAAAGCTCAAGAGGGTGTGCTCCTGGGCTAACCAGTGGCAAATAAACTTCAATACAGATAAACGACAGGTTAGGAGTAAAAATAAAAGGCAGTAATATAATACGTCCTCACTTGATACTCATGTGTCTGCACTTTCCAGCACCGGTTACTGGATAGGGATCAAGGATGTAAATTCTAATTGATTTGTGCTTCTCTTGTCTATGGGTAACAGGCCAATAATAGTATATTTACCAGTGCTCTGTGTGAGATCAGTTAACTCATTAAAGCTTAGGTCAAACCTGGGACTTGACAGATCAGCATAACTCAGCTTTACTCTTGACTGTGGCTTTGCTAACTGAGCTAATAGAAAACTAAATTGAAAGCTTTTAATCATTAAATGATCCTAACCTCTATTGATGATGGTTCCCTATTTTGCTTCCAGTTTTGTTGATCAACTTCAGTTCATCCCGTCAAACAAATTTAGGAAATTAACCAAATATTTTTAGACCCCCACCCCCTATCCTAATCATGCTACACCTGCTCTTTGCAAGTAATGACTAATACCTGAAAGCAATCAATCAATTATGATGATCTCAATTATTGTAATAATCTCAGATTAAAGGGGTGCAGGTAATTTAATTACTGTGTTAAATTGCTATCAGAATACCCGTGTTTCTAGAGGAGGAGAAACTATTGCAGTCAGATTAGAAATCCTCTGAGTTTTAATGAACTGCATTATACCTCAATTGCAGCAAATCCTAGTTCTTTGGAAGTCTCTCAGTCTTTTCAAATGGGTTTCTTTAAACGGGTATGATAGCAGTCAATGGAATTTATTTAGCTTGTGGCTGATGGTGGTTGCTGCATTACAGACGGTTATTCTATGTTACTGTGTGAATTATTCTGTATAATGAAGGGTTTATAGGTTCTGGATGGTTATGTGGTTTGACTGAGGGATCAATCCTTTTCTGCTTGTTATGTTTCCCTCAGTTCTATATAATAATAATTCTTGCAGTTGATATAACGCCTTAACACGTGGTTGAGATGTCACAAAGCGCTTCACAGAATATACTGTAAAGTGGATTGACTGTGTATTTTGTGGGTGAAATATATTTATTTTTTGCTTCCTATGTCACTATAATGTTGTAAAAATAGCTAGAAAAAAAGGTCAGTGTGCAATGCTGTTATATATTACCTTGCCATGTTGTTTTCTGACAGTTGGACAATTCACGTTGTGAAATGACTTTGTTATTATTAGACTAATTACAGTGCAAATTGGAATTGTGGAAGACTTGCATTAAAACAAAATACAAGATCAAACATGGTGAACTTTTTAAAAAAAAATCCCGTTAAATGTTGTTTAATTTGTAAACGTCTGTGTTTTTATTTGACTGTGTAGACTGTGACCCTTGCAAGTATTATCAGGAATGTATTTCCCATTTAAACTAACCTATTTTGATTTCATGAGTTTGCCAGACTATTTGACGTGCATTTTGAGTGTGTTTATCAGTGTTGCGGATAGCAAATCTGCTCAGACTTTACTCTCTGCTTCCACCTACCCTTTGTTGCACTATAACTGCATGTAGTGAATGAAGTTTGCAGCCATTCATAAAATACAATCCCTCTCTGGAATTTCAACGTGTAGGAGGGATGCATTGAAATTCTCAGTTTGATTTGGTTGCTCTTAAGCATTGCGATGGGTTTCCGAATGTGTCAGATGCCCGGCTGACAAAAAAAAAATTACATTTATATAACCCTTTCATATTGGGAGGACATCATTTATTCCTTGTGTTAATTGTATCCCCTACTCTTTTGTAATAATTTGCTAGTATTCGACCTATTCAACATTTGCAGTTACAGCTAGCCTTGGAAACGAACTATAAATATATCTAGAAAGCAAGAGTAACTTGAGAATGAAACGACAACAAAATGAAGTATGCTTCAGAGATATTTTGCTTTGATGAGTGAGTACAATCATGCGTTTACTGTGTTTTTTTTTAATTGCTCTACTTTTTGCCAATCTGGAGAATTATTCTCTGCTGGTCAGTAAACTGAGTATGTTTGGCAGAGTGTGCTTTATTCTCCACTAGCTGTTACGTTGGAGCTATGTAATTATACTGGGGGATCCGTGTTTAAATATAAGATCCTAAATTTACCATCACTAACCACCCCTCCTCCCTTTCCTGCTATCCTGCGTAAGAGATGCTATCTAAATGCAATTTGTTAGTAATTTGTGATAGATTGTCAGTTTATTGGAATCCTAGATTTGATTAATCTAATAATTTGAATATCAAATGAAACGTGCCTCATTGAAGTGCACATACTGAATGTGAATTTGATCTGTCATAGATGTATAATGTCCTGTAGTTATTTATAGAAACACTACTATGTTTTCATCTTACAAAATTCTTAGATCGAGACTGCGAGTTGACCCATGTTATTAGTGTAAATCCGAATAATCTGATTGAGTTCAATAAAGCTCTGTTGCAGTGTGAAACCACAATGATTGAAAGCATTGCAAACTCTGTTCATCAAGACAGGATGAAATGCACAGGATGTTTTGGTTCAATGCAGTTCACCACAAATTAAAATAAATACAGATAGGGTTGGTATAATTTTACATTCCATTGTACTGTTGAAGCATCTAAATTTAAGCAGGAAGGGTTTGAAAGGACCGGGAGGTTACACTATGTTAATAGCCCTTGTGTCATAAACTGGTCAGGTTTCCTGAAAATCTGCCAATATAAACTTCCTTTGTGTAGCTTTTTTTTAAGCTAGTACGTGAGATTATACAAAAAGTACTTAGAATAAGAGGAAGACCATTCAACGTTTGGTGGTAAAATTGGATAAAGAAACTAATGAACCTTTGGGTTACTGCTATTACGTTCTGCTAAAGCAACCCGATTCCTTCTGAGGTTCGTTTGAGTGTTTTCATTCGCTTATGCATAAGTATTGTAACAGTGAAGTGTTATCCAAATTCCAGTAACTGCTTCAATGGCTTTTGTTCCTAAAAGGGCTGTTGTAACTACAGCTATTCATTAAATATTTGTGGCTACATTAATTCAAATTGTTAATGGTTCGACTTCCTGCTAAAGAATATAAATGTAATTTAGAACTGTGGTGATTGTCTGTTTACCAAAGTTGCCAAAGTGAAGTATTCATTGGATGATGTACTTGTACTGTTGTGGTTTAGCATTTAGGGATTCATTTATAATGGTCCGAGTATTTAATTGCAAGAATTTTGTTATAGACCTGTGTCTACTTTATATGATGTGTTTCAGGTTGGTTTCTGAGTTTCACATGTGCGATTCTCTCTTTATTCCCAGCAAATGTGTTTGTGGAGCAGGAAGTATAAATTCCATTTCTTTCTTCCAATCACTTGATTGTTTGAAGCAATTTGAAATAAATGGGGCATAAAGGATGCTGTATTTAGCTTGCGTATTACTTGATAACTGGTTCAAATGGACTAGAAGTTAGTTCACTTCCAGATAAAGTATGTAAGCGCATCATGAGACTTAAACAAGGTCACCAGCAGCAGTTGGACATCATTTAAGCAGTCTGAGATGTTATCCCGTGTGACGGGTGCTGTATAAATCCAAGTTGCGATTGTACATGCCTGAAACTTTTCTTTTAAATGCTCTAATTCTCTCTCCCTCTCTCTCGATTTACTCTCTTTGCAATATTGCTCCAATGAAAAACAAGTCCCAACTTTTTAAACCTCTCCCAAAGAGTGATTAGTAGCTGTATTGGAAACGGTAGGTGACTGGACTGAAAGATTTGTTTTTTGCAAGAGCCAGTTCAGACACGATGAACCACATGGCCTTCTTCTGTGGCGTACATTTTTTCTGGTTCCTTGTAAAATAACCTCTAATTCCTGGTGACAGATGTGAC